TAAACTCTACCAGGACTACCCACCTATCCTGGCCCCAAGTATTACCCATAACCTTGTTCCACCTTAGAACCCAGCCAAGGCGAGACATATGTATCTCCCCCTTTGAATTATTGTTTGGTCGCCCACCTGACACACTCAAAGGCCTAGACCCTCAGTCCCTTTGCTTAGAAAAAGGGGAGGGGGGTCTTATCATCCTATCTTATAGCTCTACAATTACAGCTCAAGAAACTGTGGAAGCAGAGTGCCCTGATGCAAACCTTACCATTAGAAGAGAACCTACATCCCTTTGAACCAGGAGACTGGATCTGGATAAAATCATACATTTGCAAATCACAACCAAAGTGGAACAGACTCTTTCAAGTTCTGCTAACCACTCAGACAGCAATCAAGGTAGCAGAAAGGAACACCTGGATCCATTGGACCCACACAAAACCAGCAGTTGTGGACCACAGCATCACACCTGAAGCAACACCAATGATTCCACCCTTGAAACTCAGGAAAGATTCAGAAACTGAGGAGTGGATGCTGAAAACCCTTTTGAAACTGAATCAAATGGGGGAGGGAATGAAGATGGGAAATAAGTTTACCATTGTTAATTTTTTTTTAACATTTGTTGTATATTTTTCTATTTAAATTGTACTTCGGGGTTCATGGAACCAAAATTGCTTCCAGACAAAGGGAATGTATGGGAATATTTAGTGCGGGAGATATTGAATACCACAGATTTTTGCCTTGCCGGAGGTAGATCAGTGACGGATATTTTCACTACATGTAGCAAAAGCACCACAAGCCATCACCAATGATACTAAGTTAAGAGAGTTTCCACTCACAGCCTCATATTCCAATATTTTCAATTGAGGCACCAGTGTAGACAAGAAAGACAACAATATATTGCAGGTGGCAGCTATAACTCAAGCAGCTGCTTCACACTGACAGGATGTCACGTGCCTAAGGTCTCAGAATGCCACAACCTCACTAACACTGAACTAGCCTGCAATAACACTGGCGCCATCACCTTTTCATACAGCCATATGAAGCTTCCTTCAGGATGGTTTTTGCTGTGTGACTTGAAGGCTTACTCCTACCTACTGGCAAACTGCACAGGAGGCCCTTGCACATTAGGGCAATTAACCATGCTAATGCCCTCCCTGCAGAGGCGACAAAAAAGGAGCTCCCATACATTGACTCCTGACTGTGACTCAAAAGTTCCCCTCCTCACCAAGGCTGAATACCTTGCATTGGCTGTTTCTCTAGTGGGAGTGCCAGGGCTCGCAGCACAAAATTCTAGGAACATAAACAGCCTGGCATGTACTCTAGCTAAAAATCTAAATACTACTTGTCATGCCCTGGATGCTTTAAATAAAGAACTAAGGCAAGTAAGAGAAGCAACACTTGAGAACAGGGCAGCTATAGATTACCTCTTGCTGAGACATAACCATGGCTGCAAAGAGTTCCAAGGACTTTGTTGTTTCAACTTGACAGACAAATCCGGCCTAATTGAGCCAGATATCAAACACCTAAAACAGTGGTTCTCAACCTGTGGGTCGGGACCCCATTTGGGATCGATCGACCATTTCATGGGGGTCGCCAAGCAAGGCTGTCCGCCATTTTTTTTGTCCGCCATTTTTTTCCCCTTTTCCAGCGGGTGCCTTACCTCCCTTGGGCTGGGCCAGCTGGTGGTCGGCCTGCTCCGTCTCTGCCGCTTGCCAGCTACGCCTCGGCCGGCGCAGGGGGCGGAACCACGCATGCGCGGCACTCCCGGGCAGGGAAAGTCCTCGACTTACGACCGGTTGGGTAGTCCTCGACTTATGACCGGTTTAGTCCTCAACTTACGACTGGTTTAGTCCTCGACTTACGACCGGTTTAGTCCTTGACTTACGACCGGTTGGGGTCGCGGCATTAAAAAGGTTGATAACCACTGACCTAAAAGAACTAGCACAAGACATTGGGTATAACTAACCTTCCTGGGACTTATCATGGCTTTTTTCATGGCTCCCAGACTTTCATTGGCTAAAAATCCTCATTAGAACTATAGTCACAGTCACAATCATTATTTGCTGTTTTTGCCAGTGCATATGGCCATGTTTTAAATATCAAAGAAACTGCATTACAAGAACCAGCAAACAGGCCAACAAGGTTTCCCTAATGATAAACCAAATTGACAGCCACTATTAAGTTTACACTCCACCTGTTGTACTAATTACTGAATCATCAGTAATAGTACAAAATGGGGGATTGAAGGAAGACCCCCCCCTCCCCAGATAGAAGAAGAAACCTTGAGGCAGGAAAAATAATTAAATCACAAAATAATTAAAACACAACAGTTTAATCCAGGGGTGTCCAAACTTTTTTCAAAGAGGGCCAGATTGGATGAAGTGAACGTGCTGGAGGGCCGAACATTTTTCCGAACATTCTTTGAACCATTACAATTAAATGCAAATGAATTATTTTATGCCTCTTTCCTCTCCCTCTCTTTCCTCTTTCTCTCTCTCTCTCTTTCCTTTCCCTTTCCTCTCCCCTCTCTCTCT